TCGTTTGCGCAGGAGGTTGGACTAGATGACCTTCTGAGGATCTCTTAGGTAATCACTTCAAAATAGGCATATAATAGATTTCAGTAATTACGTACAGTAGTTTGTTTGGCAACTTTGGAATTAATCAACAGGGAGGAAACCCTGTCCAAACTCAAGAGGAGGGGAAAACAGGCATCGGTTGTTTCTCCAAATGGAAGACGGACTACCAGATGGATGGAGGAGGAGCACATGTGTTAATTTATTAGTGTGTGAGAGTCACTGAAAACTGTAAACAAATATGTTTTGAAATATTCATAAACACATGTTGTGCACTTCAGCTGTATTGCCAATTAAGGTATCTCTTCAAAGGAAACATCATGAGAATTATGTGAAGGATTCCTGAACAATGCAGACAGGACCAAGATGTCAGTATCTTTTGCAGAGCACTTACAGTACTTATGCTGCTACTCTTATTCCCTTAGCTTTCTCCAGGCCCAAAGTGACCAACCAGCTAATATATCTGGAAAATCAGCGTATCTTCAGATATCACTCGTTTTTAATGAAGAATGCACCTACCTTTTTCTAGGCATGTTTATCATGTCATATTAATTGAAGTCTTTTATTCTTTTTTCGAAACAAGCAGGCTGTGAAATATGTGATTGAGTGACACTTCATAAAATGATTGAGATCTTGTTTAATAATTGATTAATGTAAATTATGGAAATGTTAATTCAGCATTGGATGAGAACTTATTTTTTGAGTATTTCTAAAAATACGGCTTATTTTCTTACGTTGCTTACTTTTATTGAACAGTTCAATATTCTGAAAATTATTTTATTATGAGAAGCAGTAAGACACTTATTTTTGGTTCTAGTTTTCAGTGTGTGAATTGAATGTCATGGATTTTTAAATGCCAGTGTTGATATGCACAGATAAGAACACATTAAATGTAGAATTTAAAATGTATTTTGTGTAAGTAAATTTAGTTCTAGACTCCTACTTGGAAAGAGTTTGGATTCTTTGCTTTATAATTACATGTATTCTAGGTGTACATAGAAATGACCACTCTGGATCAGTAAGGTGGCGGTTCCTTTAGTCCTGTGTAGTCTGAGTAGCATAGGGGTTGAGAAGTACACCAGGTTGGTCTGTGGAATAAAGTTATGGAATCATATAGATCACAGAGTTTACAAAGGTAAGTGTGGGAATCATAGTCTCAGCTGTTGTAGTGGGGAATGATTCCTGAAAAGTTCATGTGGTCACTGCAGGGGAAGTAGTAGAACTGGGGAGAGACAGACTTGCTGTGATTAGGTGGCATGCGTTCATGAACAAAGACAGAACAGTGATAGTGGAACCTGGCTATGGATGTCAAGTTGGCAGATACTGTGTGACTTTTCAGCAGGCTAAATATTAGTATTGCTGTTGTCACTCAGGAAAAGCCTTTAAAATCATCATAGGCAGCTGTCTAAATCTTCAACTCTCAGTATGTGCTATCAAGCAAGCAAAAAGAATTAAGAGAATTATGAGAGTGAGTGATACGGGGAAAAATCATGCTATTCTGTAATTCCCTGGTATACACACAGTTTGAATACTGCTTACAATTCAGGTCAGTCTGTCTTAGAGTAGAAAAGAATTGGAAAAGATACTGCGTATGACAATAACAGTAACTCTTGGATAAAGAGGGACTGAATTGATTAGCTGAGAAAATTTCTGAGGGAAATGATATAAATTTGAAAGAACTGGTGCTGGGAAATAGTAGATAAGTTACTGCTTCTTGCCAATCAAGAAAAAAAGATTTAATTAAAACTTCAGGTACTGAGCATAAACCCAGTGTGCTTTCGTGATGTACATTCCTGAATTACAAAACTGTATTTGCTGTGGGTTGTTGTAAAGACCACAAGTAAATGACTTAGAGGAGTGAGGATAAATCCCCAAGAGTCTATTAAAAAACCTTATGCAAAAGCCTATATAAGCTACCATTTGCAGGAAGGTAAGACGATATACTACAAAAAAATTGCCTTCCTCCCTGCTCTTCCTACCTCTCTCCTCAAGCATATACTACTTACTAGTGTGGAAACTGGATATTATACCAGGTAGTCTTTGGTCTGCCCTTGTGCTGAAGTTAGTATGTTCTATGGAAGAACCAAGAGTTGTGAAATATGTTGGTGCTGAAGAATGGAAGTGTCCTACAAACTAAGCATGCGTGTATGTGGAGATCCACCTTGCTCATTTTCTTTAAAATGCTTTGAACTCCATGTGAAGTTCAAGTTAGATAGGATGTAACCCTGGTCACAACCGACAGCACGAAAGAAGGCACAATAAGAGAATTTATTAGGCACTAGGAAGTACATTGAAAAAGGAATATTCTAGACAAAGGAGATGAGCTCTGTCTTGAAGTAAATACAGGCTATTGTGATGTGAAATAAGGAAAATCTAATTCTTTAAACCTAAAGATGCAGTAAAGCTAGCAGGGCACAGAAGCAAATAAATCAGATGATTCTGATATATAATATTACAACAGCTGTTGTGTCCAGTAAGGATATCTTGAAAATTACAGCAGAGCCAGAAGGGAAGCAGGATAAGAGCATAGATAAGAATTCTGAAAAAATCAACACACTTGCAGATGAAGGAACTGAATTTTTAAAAAGCCATCAAGAAAAAATAAATGTTGCGTGCCTTCTCTCTCTCAATATGGATATACATTATAGATAACCAAGAAGTTTAAAAGCCAGAACTAGTGAACTCAAGTGTCTTATACTTGATGAAGATCTTGATGTAACAAGCATTGCAAAGACCCGGTTGGATAATTTAAAAACAACAGAGAGAATTGAAGTCTGTCTTAAAAATTGTACTTTCATACTTCTAGCTGTGTGTATGCACATAAACAGATTAAACTGTCTCCTTGTGTGCCTTAGAGAAACAGTATAATAAGTTGATCAACTGTTTCATGAAGTGTTACTTTCTGGAATATACAAGCAAAAAAAAATTATTTTTACTTGAGGAATTTAAAAGACAAATTTAGTTAGCTTAATTCAGAATTGCAGCACTTAGCTGGTTTTGGAAGATGCCTTCCAAAAAGCTCAGATACTGCAATAGAATATCTCTATCTCCAGAGCAGCCTAGTTCTTCAAGTATTTAAGGTTTAAACACTCCTACTAAGCAGTGACTGGATCAGACTTCTCAGAAAATGCTATTGCAGCACATTCAGTTCCTTTTGTGCAGAAATAAATTGAATAGTTGTTGGCTAACACACAGAATGCCCTAGGGCTGTAGGGTCTCCAACTGAGAATTCTCCCATACTAAACAAAGAGAATCTCGATCCTAGCTAGTTCTTATCTACCAGTGATTTTTTGTGTTTCTTTATTTACAACTTGTGGAAGAGGAATGCAAAGTGTTTCCACCTGTGATAGCACATTCGGGGCATTCTGTTGAAGACAGGTTTGAAACCCCTTCCAGCTGTGGAAACCATTGGATCATTGAAACCACTTTTTGCCCTGTTTGCCCGTACCAATTTATACCTCCTGGTGTTTTTTGTGGATGTCAGTGAATGAGGCTCAGGCTTTTTTAAAGGACTCTTTAGGCGTATATTTACAAGAGAAAACTCTTGGTTATGTATTTGGAAAGCTAAATGGTAGGTATAGAAGTTCGTTGAAGAAAAGCTTACTAAAATAGCCTTGATGCAGTGAGTAAAGAGACATGTGAATTGTCGAAGCATTAAGAAGGAAGAATTGAATTAGAAGAGTTGATATCAAATTAATTGATATAAATTTGCCAGCAGCATGAAGCAGTTAAGTGCTTTCTGTACTTTGAACCTTGTAACAGGATTCCTAGTGTTTCTTGTAAGTTAAAAGGTACACTCAGTGACTGTGGTGTGACAAAGGAGTTATGTATTGATCTGATAATCTAAAATGCATTCAATTACTGGGCTGTGATGGTGAAAGGCCAAGAGATTTCATAAAGCTCTAAGATCTGTGAATTTTTAGATAAAACCATGTACTGTTACGGAGGTCTGGTATATAGATAATTTTGCACCCATAAAGGTAATTTGGAGAATTATGGAACTATAAACGGCTTGTGTTCCTTAATGGGTTCTAAATTAACAAAGAAAAAGATCTTGGGTAATGGTGTGATTAGCAGGATGGACACTTTCAGTGAGTAGCTGTGGGAAAAAAAGATAGCAATGTGATAGGAAGCATAATTGCTGGAGTGGAGTCAACCAGTGTGTATATATGTGTGTGTGTGCATAATAAAGGTGTGTTTTTAATGTTGTTTACCTGGAATGTTTGCTGTAATTATGATGCCTGATAACACACAGTAAAACAAGGTAATAATGAGAAGCCTGGAGAACCTCTGCTTCCTAACACCCTTCTTTTCCTCTCTTCCCCCACCCCTTAAAGAAGGACTTGTAAATGACATGATAATTTACCATAGAGAAGTAGTGAGGAGAAATGGATGCAAAGTTTATAAAATGTAAATGGTAAAAGGGAAAGTATGTTAGAAGATTGTCTCATATAGGAGTGTGTTACATCATGAAATTAAAAAATCATGAATCAATTACAAATGATTAATTTTTCTGCAGAGTTTTTTATTAGTGTGTTATTGCTTGCCATAGTAAGTTGTTAAGCCCAAATTGTGAAGACAGTTTTTCAAAATGTGAATTCTGTAGGTACCAAATCCCAGAATTAAGATTTCTGATGATTAAAAAAGGTACAAATAACAACAGCCCAGGAGAGATCAGGAAGAGAATAATTTTGGGTAAATCATTCCACAAATGCCTGCAGTCAGGTTCTTATCCTACTATGTGGTTTCCTCTGATTCATGTTAAATGGAGTAGTAGACTCAGACAGCCAGCGTTTTGTGTTTTGGTGGTCCTATATGACTCTAATGGTTAACGTGTTACTTCTTAGGCACTTAAGATTTGTATTCCTACTTTCAATTTCTGAATTAGTAATTATGAGTGACTCTTTTTTCCTCTGTGGTATATAAAATTTGTTTTGAATTAATTTTTTTCCTCCTCTTCTAAGGGTTATGTACTGAAGGCTTGTACCGTGTTAGTGGGAATAAAACAGATCAAGACAACATTCAGAAACAGTTTGATCAAGGTAATGACAGATTTTGTTATTTAAAGCCAAAACAGAACTTGAATTCTCCATGGGTTTATTATAGTGCAATATAGAAGGGTTGCATTTTCAAAGTGACTTCCATCCAAAGATGGGATAAATCTTTTTGCACCTGGCTTTAAATGCTATTAAAATATTTTCTAGTTGGTATGCTAGTGTTTTAAAGCAGTCCTAGCTGCTCTTTGTGTTAATTAAAGTTCACCAGTCCTAGGCATTAAGGCATTCACTTCCCCCTCTTATCCCCCTCAAATGTAGTACTTCTTGATACTTATTTCATTGAAAGGTACTTGAACGATATGGATTAACAATTAAATCTTGATAATAAATTTCTAACAAGCTTTCTCATGCTAGAATATATTGGAATAAGATTGGTAGATTATGCTGTTCACTTTGATGCACTGAAGAGAGGGTCAGCGTTATTTTTTTCCTTCTGTTTTCTCATTTAATCTACGATCTCGGTTGATATTTCAAAATTAAAACAATTATTAAAAGTTCTTGGATATTAATCATGAAGTTGAGCCTGTGAAAAATAATAAAATTCCTCCTAGATGATAAGGAAAATAAATGTGCTAGGATTTTAAGCCTCACTATACTGTTTCAGATCATCTGAGTATAATGCTAGATTTTCGTCAGGCACTTTATTAAAGGATGTTCCAGACTTTCAGGAGTGAAGTTTTGAAAAGTAATCTAACATTTCAACGTTTCAGCTTTTGAATACTTTAAGATCTGTAGCTTACAGTGCTTCTTCCACTTCTAGCCTTGGTTTAAAAATTATGTAGCATGATTTATATATTTTTAAAATTGAAATTTATATTAATACTCTAGTTATAAAACATAAAGGTTCTGTTATTTGGGAATCTCGCAGTCAATTATATGGCCATGTGCGGTCACTGGTATGTTTTGTTGTCCTTTTAAAAAAGGCTTCGTGTGGTCACATGAACACGATCGTATGAATTCTGCAAGTTCATGTGCCCTGTACCTGTTTTTAAGAAAATTTGGGGAAATAGAATTTAAAACTTATTTTTGGGCAACATTGATTAATCAGAAGCCAGTCAATGGCTAATAGAAAGCACTTAAGTCTGCATAGAGAATTAGACAACTGTTTTCTTTGTTTTCACATTTGACAACATTTTCATTTTTAGTGTTTTGAATAAATACTTGTTTTCATAAAATACTGTGAGGAATAACAGCTGTAGATTTTGCTTACATTATTGTTTAATTTTGTTTTACAGATCGTAGTATCAGTCTAGAGTCTATGGGAGTAACAGTGAACGCGGTGGCTGGGGCTCTTAAAGCTTTTTTTGCAGATCTGCCAGATCCATTAATTCCATACTCTTTGCATCAAGAGTTGTTAGAAACATCAAGTAAGTAATAAACAATCTTGTCTTGATCTAATTATGCTATATTGATTGCCTTTATTGCAATTTTTACTTCATTGTAAGTTCAAAGGACTAGCTGCACTGAAATATTTTAAAAATTGCTTAGACATGTCCTTTTTTTAATATTCTTTAAAATTAACAGAACTATATGATGAAATAAATATGTTCTTTTTTTCTAAATAAGTTGTAGCTTATTATTTCTCCTTATCGTAGAAAATTTAATTGGAGAAATCTACCGTTTTTCCATTATGTATTAGCGCTACATATGATGAAAGCTCTTGGAACTGTATTGTAGTTGTTAACAAGGGAAAAAAACCTTGAATTCATAAAGTCTGGCTTTCAAAGTAGGCTTTAGAAATCAGACATATCTATGAAATGTTATGGTAATTATATTTTAATTTTTTCAAATTGTTTTTGACCTCCTTATAAGATGAAATGCTTAATTTTGTTTGCCTTATAAACATTTTTCAGACACTTCAAAGTGAAGTGACTAAATTGCTCCCTTCTTTTAAAGAGTATTTGTCTTGTATTGGCAGCAAACTGTTTCAGAAAAAGACTGTTATGTGTTTTTGCAGGATACAACAGTATTCTTACCATTTATTTGTTCAAAACATGAAAATACTAGTGTAAAGCTAGGGCTTGGGCCTGGACTTGGTTGATAAGAAGCCCATTAGAAATTCTCTATTTTTGGACAATATCTGTAATACCTATTTGTGGTATTTCTGCTGTACTTTTCAGGCAAATTTTTTTTTTTTTAAGTCCATCAGTTAAATTTCAGTCGAAACATGCAATAAGTGGACTTACTATTTTAAAATGCCATTAATAGTGCTTTAAATTTCTATTTGAGATATATTGGAGCATATTTAACATTATTTCTGTAGTACTAAGGTACACAATGCACTCATGTAATAGAGGTGAGCATGTATTTGGTTTTATGATAGAAATCATCATGGAATAGAACCATACATTCTGCAAAATATACTTTTACAATACTTTAGCAGCATTTTCCATAAGTGTTTTAGCAGCAGCATTAGTTGATGTTTGTTTTTTTTTTTAATTGCTCACTTATTCCATAGTCCTTTCTTACAGGTTGCTTATTTCCTTTTTGAAGCATAAATAATGTTCCTTGGGCCTGTGAAAATCCCTCTTCTCCTTTAAACAGTTTATTTAAAATAGCTGCACCAGGCTCATTCATAATTTTTTTAATTATTATTTGAATAACTGATAAGCTTAAGATATTCTAAGTTCATGTGAATGTCTTCCTTCCCCCAAATCTTTATGAAACTTCTGAATAAATATTATAGATACATCTAAGTCATAACATTTTGCAAGCCAAGGAAAACTTAACAAGAAATTACTGTCACATTGTTAGTTATCATTCAACAAGCCAGCAATGAGCTAATCAAGTGATTCTTTGCTGTTAAACACAGATAAATAATTTTACTTAAATACAGAAAAGTATTTTTGTGTTTAGATAGTTAGCTCTTCAATGAAAAAGTTACTCTGTGCAGTAGTATATGCAGATAGGAATTTTTATCAAATATTTTCTCACTTGATATTTTTCTGCGGGTATCTTATCTGTACCATTATAGTAGCAAAAAGACTTGGCAACATTTTATTCAGTATGTCTTTCTGGATGTGTCAGAAAATGTCACTTATTTCTACAGAAATCATGGATAAGACAGAACGGCTACACGAGTTAAAAGAAATTGTGAAGAAGTTCCACCCAGTGAACTATGATGTCTTCAAATATGTAATAACGCATCTAAACAGGTTCAGTATTTTTCTACTAAAATTTTGTCTAAGTTGTTACAATTGCAAAAAATATTGTGTTAGTAACAATTAGTTGACTTCTAGAATTGAAAATTTCATGCTGTGTTGCTCGTCTGTTAGTATAAATGTGGAAAATGAAACTAGGAGTTAGGGGTTGATTAGAAAAGGTTTGTATATTCTGTTCTCAGATTTTATAGACATATAAATATCTGGCATCATCGTTACTCTAAAGTTACAGGAATGATTGGTGTACACCACAAAAAAGCTTGAAAGAATAGCTATGCACCAGTTACAGATCTCTGTTTGTTTTGTTTCCTTCCTCCTGCCTCCCAGGAGGTCAATATTGAAATTACAGACTAATATGGGTTTTAAGGGACCTGAGAGTCATTTGGCTTAAACCCCCCCCCCGGCGCACTCCCCCCACCCCTTAAAGCAGGGACAGCTTCAATCAGAATCCAAAATGTAGCACACACAACCGCTGCTGAATAAGTAAAATATAGAACAAAGCTATAAGTAACAGTAAATTGGTTACACTTGCTTCCTAAATCTTGCCTCTTGCATGGAAGTTTAATGGTTTTCTCTTAAAAAATTATTTCTCTACTTAAAAATAGTTTGATATTAGTAGATGTGTGCTACCTCATAATCTGACCCTTTATGTGCACAGGTGTAAACATTCAGTCATAAAAAACAGGAAGAAAAAGACCAGCTTACTCATGCTTCTTTTTCAGCTAAAATGAGATTATTCTCTGAAATCCACTGAATGAGATCGTTAACTATATTATTAAAGAAAAGAATAAGCATTGCCAAAGCTGAAATAACTCCCTTTTTTTTTAACAAAAAACTTTATCCAGTAATCTGTCACTTAAAGATATTGTGATATTTTTTTCTGCACTTTTAGATAGAATCACAGAATTGTTGAGGTTGCAAGGGACCTTTGGAGATTGTTTAGTCCAACCTCATTGCTGTGGCAGAGTTGACTAGAAAAGATTGCCCGGGATGGTGTCCAGTTGGATTATCAGTATCTCTGAGGAGGGAGACTCCGCATTCTCTCTCTGGGCAACCTATGCTAGTGCTCAGTCATCCTCACGGTCAAAAAGTTTTTTCTTATGCTTAGCCAGAATTTCCTGTGCATGTTTGTGGCTGTTGCTTTTTGTCCTGTCACCGGACACCACTTAGAATTGAGTCTCACTCCATCTTCTTTACACCCTTATTTAAAACCAATGATTAGACTTCCTCTGAGCTTTTCCAGGCTAAACAGTTACAGCTTTCTCAGCCTTTTCTCATTTGAGAGATCCTTGGTCTCTTATTGATCTTTATGTCCCTTCATTGGGCTTGCTCCAGGACTTCCATGTGTCTGTTGTGCTGGGGAGCCTAGAGCTGGACCTTGTACTCCAGATGTGGCCCTTGCAGCTCTGAGTAGAGGGGAAAGATCATTGCCCTAGACCTGCTGGCAGCACTCCTGATGCAACCTAGGATGCCTTTGACCTTCTTTGCCACAGTGGCACATTGCTGGCTTGTGCTCAGTTTGTTTTTTGGCAGGACTTTCAGGTCCTTCTCTGCAGTGGGACTTTCCAGCCAGACAATATTTGTGTATAAACACAAATAAGCTTTTAATGACATTTAAGGTGTTAAATTGTTTCGGACTAGTGTGTGTGTGTTTGGTTTTTTTGCAGGTGTTTATAACAATCTAGCTGGGCATGTAATATGGGGGCAGAAAAGAGACCTTTTAACTTCCCTGTTCAGTCAACAGAGAGAATGTAGGTGGTCTCTATAGCAGTTTGGAAGGAGCCTTCTCTTTTCACTGAATGTATGAGAAACCACTTCTCTCCATCACATATATGACTTGCTAAAACTTAATAAAGTTATCCATTTTCCTTTGCAGAGAAATGGATCAATTTTTCCATTGCAGTCTTGCCAAATACAAATTCAGCCCTAAAATAGATGAAATCATATCAGTGGAGATAATTATTCCATACGTTTACATATTACAGAATTGCAAGATGTACTTGCATGTATCTGAAGTAAAACAAAACATCACACACTTGACACAGTTACCTGAAATGTTTCAATAGTTATTAATGGGCTTGATTGAAATTTTTTTGTGGAAGAGTGGCAATCTCTGAGTTGTCAAAAGTCTTCAGCTGGTCACCTGTTTGTGTAGCACAGCTGAATACACAGTGTCAAGTACTTGGATTGCTGCAAGTAAAAGAGCTAAATATAATTTTGAAAAATCCTGAGTAGGTTCTAATGTGTGCATATCTAGGGACAAATGAAATGTATTAATCATGGAACTTACTGGAGAACGTAAGTGTGTACCCTGGCTTTTGCTCTCCAGTCCACTTGCTTTCTTTTAGTGATGACTGATTTACATCGTGGGTTGCTAGTAACAAAATAATCTTCTCTTAGTTAAGAAAGGCTGTCATTTTTTGTCTCATTCGCAGTGTCGTGTTCAATGGAAAACTACTTGAGCGTAAGCAATTGCATGTGTATGTTGAGGTAGATCGAGGTGCATACAGGATCTTAAAGGGAACTTATAGCTTGTGTTGGATTCACGTTGGCTTTTTGGATGTTGGTTGTGGTTTTATATCTGTTCTTTGATAATGGCTCGCTTTGTACATAAAGGCTAACATGGCATAATATGCTTCTGAAGTCTGGGAAAACATAGATGTACAACTTTTAGGGTCTGATCATAGAGTGAGTTTACAGCCTGAAGTTCCTGAAGAGTTTGCAGTGGAGGAAGGTGGCAGGATCAGACTCCTCATTTTTTGTTTTGAGTGAACGTAAAAGGTGAATAGACATTTGCTAAGCACTTACATGAAGATTCTGAAGTAGTTTGGGAAAGTTTGGTAGGAGATGGTATACAGGGTGGTAGGTTTTTGTTTGCCCTTAGAAAGGACAGAGATAAAGTTTAAACACAGGAGAGAATGAAGTTGATTGTTCATTGTGTTTAATCTAGTTGGGAGCCGCAACTGGGAAAGAGACGCAATGCTTTTCTCCTCCTTTTCTGACTTCTAGCCATGGCTTCACACTGCTTTATTTCTTGGATCTAATGATTATGCAGCTGCAACATATTCTAAAGGAAAACAGAAATAGGGGAAATCTCATTTTCGGTAGAATACACTAGCTGATCTCAGACACCCTGTTGTCTGATGCCAGAAGGTTGATGGAGAGGAAGAAGGAAGGAGTAAGAATGAAACTTCACCTGTTGTCCACAGCAGCACCAGTCTACAGCTAGGTCAGATTAGATTTAAGAAACAATATAGGAGAGACAGCAAACAGTGACCTCATTACAAGGGGGGAAAAAGGGTGCATGAGAAGACCAAACACATAATCAAATCCTAGACGTGCTTAAGGATGTCAGAGGATATGCATTTTAGCCTATGCAGCTGAAGAAGCCCCTTCAAAGATTTTTAAATTCAGAGCAAAAATGAAAGGAAAAAAGCACTCTGCAAAATAGATGATCTGGCTTTTATTTAAATTTTATTACATAGCAGGTGCTATTTTTTCCCCAGTTTTATAACATATCTTATTGTAGTTTGTTCTCTAATGAAACACTGTTAGAGAGTTTGAAACCCCTTTTGGTGTTTTTCATTGTACTCATTTTAGGGAAAAAGTACAGGCAGTTCTGGTTCAAAACTGATAGATTCATTGTCCCATCACAATGTCTTACACTTAGATTTTATTTAATTCTTGGTAAGTCTTATTCATTGTTCTAGCTCTAGAGTATAGTCTAAGAGGAATTTATACACATAAGAATTCAGTATAGGAAGAAAAGTCTTTAATAAGAATGCTAAGGAAAATGCAAGCTTACATTCGTATTTTTGGGTTCTTTAATCCTAAAAGGATCTTAAAATGTAATTCTTCTGGGAAAGAGATTACAAATATTACTGTCACTCAGAAACAGTATCAAAATATCCTTTGGATCAAACTTGTTCAAAACAGATTGAGAGGCAATATTTGTATTCCCTCATGCTATTTGGAATAAGTATGTGCATGCTAAAATGGAAGTCTACACTTTATAGTAACCACTATACATGCATTGTAAATGAGTGAAAATATTTTCTTATACGATTAATTCTAGTTTTTGTAGTGTTTCATAGTGTTTACTCTGGTTTTCACAGCTTTTGAATCTTTGGACTACAGCCAGCTGTCAGAAATTCTTGCAGTCTGCTCTTGTTAATCATCAAAATTGTAACTGACAAGTTGCTGAAGTTTTGTTTTCCGTCTGTTTCTGCAGGACAACTGTAGCTCAGTTACCTTTGTACTGTTTACTGTAATGTAGGAATTGCATGTTCTCAGCTGAATGAATATCTTAGGTGTTTGTCGGATTTATCAATACAGGATTTTTCATGTATCTCTCATTAATTACTTCTAGATAAAATTATTATGTTAGCTTAGAATGCAGAGTATTTTTAGAAAAGAAAATATCGTGGCTCTTTTTAGTCTATTACTATCAAAAGCAGTGTGTTTTTTCTGAAGAGGCATTTCATTGTAGGTGATAAATTTAGTAACGGGATGGTTTGTTGTTTTGTCAGTCAAGAACCTGTTTCAGCCCCTGCTTAAAACCAGGAAAGCTCTAGGAGGAGAAACCCATTTGGAAACCTTTCCATTATACATTGAAAATTAAAACAAAATTCATGTGTATTAATATTAGTGAAATTTCCACTGATGGTGTTCTTTACAGCTTGCCCAAATTCTGTTGCTGGCTAGTATGAAAAAACCTGCAGAGATGTGCTTTAATCAACACTTCATTTTTTGGGGGGGGGTTGTGTTTATTTTTAACATGTGATCTCATGTGATACCTTTTTCTTTGACAGCCATAGATGTTACTTAATGTCTGACTGCCCTACAATAAGAAGCCTTTTCTGTCATTTTTCTTCTAGAGATTTTAATGGACGAAATTTTAATTTTATGAAATCCTGTAGCTGATTGAGAGATTTAAAGTTTGTTTATTATTGTCACTTCAGAATGTTGGTGGAACGTTGAATTTCTTTCCTGATGAAAAGCTTAATCAGATTTGTATTCGTTAACTATCCAAATCTGGAAAAGTCTTGGTTTCTAAATTTTTCTTCTGCATAATCACTTTAAAAAACCAAGAACAATGGGTTTAATGGGTAGCTGGAGGGAAGTATCAAAAATCTCAAGGTCGTTTAATAATAATGCTTACAGTTGGAGAGCTATGGAAACATTTGTAGTTGATTGCATACCGATTCTGATTCATTCTGTGCATGTCGTTCTCATTTCAGGGTTAGTCAGCAATATAAAACCAACTTTATGACTGCTGATAACTTATCGATTTGTTTCTGGCCTACTTTGATGAGACCTGATTTTGAAAATAGAGAGTTTCTTTCTACCACCAAAATCCACCAGTCGGTTATAGAGACCTTCATTCAACAGTGTCAGTTTTTCTTCTACAACGGAGAGATCGTAGAAGCGCCTAACCCAGTGGCATGCCAGCCACCGCCTTCCAATGCAGTGCAGATGGTGGAACCAATGGTACCTCTGCAGTTACCACCACCACTGCAGCCTCAGCTGATCCAGTCGCAATTACCAGCAGACCCTCTTGGTATTATATAAATAGAAGATGATTGCAGGCAGCCTGGCACTGGACAGTAAAGACAAGCTATAGACATGCATGTTTCAGGATACAGTAATGTACTTCATATTTATGGAAAATAATTCCCATCCAGCTGATTGGACATCTTTTTGTTATATCCCGTACCGTGTTCCTCATTTGTACACACTGCAGATAAAAACTATGTGATAAGCATGACTGGAGAGGTTTAATTTTTAAAAGCAAAAATAGCTATAAAGTACAAAGCTGCTGCTGCATGATACCTTATTGCAATCACTATATCATTCCTGTGACAGTTTGTCACGATATATTGTGAATAAAATTTTTCTATAGAAATTTAATGATTTAAAAAATTACATTTATGGAACATTCAGTGCTTACAGCCTGCTTTATGGCTGTTTTTGTTATTTAACATGCTATTTTTGGCAATTTTATTCACATTCAAGCGTTCTGTGTAAACAACTAAAGCCCAGCTATAGTTTATTTTGTAATCTCCTGGCTACTTATGTGATGGTATGCTTAGGATGGTTTATGGAAGAATGCAAAATGCACTGTTGAGAATTTTACAATCCCTCACCATCCATCTTTACTTGTAAGTAAACCTGTGGACAGTTTGTTAAGGGTGGGTGAACTTGCTTACTATTTCTTACAGCACAATACCAAGGACATGCTTGTTGTAAAAGTGAGTTTCAAATATTGTACAAAAATTTCGATGTTGCCTACTTATTTCTTTATGTTCCATTATTGAACTAAACATTTTGTAAAACTGTTAATTCTGTAAACAGCTGCATGTTTAAAAGATCATTGATGGTCTTGTAAACTTAATCTAATATATTTTAGATATTTTAATTTTTCCCACTTGGGAATACATTTAGTGTTTAGAAAATAGTTCATGACATTTTCATATAAGGTTATATAACTTTTCATACATAAACATGAATTTTGTTGTAGTAAAATTCTCTAAACCAAACAATGTTTTAATCTAGGACTTCAATTAATCTATTCTTTAAATCTATTTTTATGTGACCCTTTAAAGATATACAAAAATGCATTGCTAATACATAGCAATAAATACTTTGGGTACTGACAATTAACCTCTTTGGAGTGTGTATATATAAAATCACATAAACTTGTATTCATATTTTTTTCCTGTGGTATGTTGTACTAAAAATTCAAATGACTGATTTTTTTTTTACTATATTTTTAAATTATCTTTTTTTCATTTATTTTCCTTTTACATTGGTACCAATTTTGCTGTAAAAGAATGCTGCTTAATTTAAACAAATCTTTTGGTTAAATATTTTGTTAGTAGTAAAACATTTAGAAGGTTACAAATTGTAGCAAAGGGGAGACCATAGATAAACACTACCTGTGAGACTTTCCATAGCAGCTTTTTTTCCTTCATGCTCAAGATATACCTTTTTAGGTTTGCATAGAAGAAAACCGTTTTGGCTCATTCAGCTGCTAGAATGTTTTGTGTAGTTTTAAAAGAAAAAAAGAAAAGCTTTATGATGGTCACTGTTGTAATCTTCACTTATAACAAGATTTAAGATCGTCTTGTATGTATTATAGTAAATAGATGATTTTGAGAATTAAGGCTTTTAACAGTTTGATTTGCTCCATTTTCCCAAAATAAAAATTGCCTTTCCCACTTATGTCCTAGGTATTGTACTTCTAATTACGACTTGGATTATCATTCTAGATTACTATGATACCATAAACCCGGCTGCTGTTTGAAGTACATGTATATTATAAATTATCTCGATATTGTGTTATATTCTTGCAAGTAATTATCTTTTCTAAGAAAACATAAACAAAGAAGAAAAGTCAACCCTATTCCTATTGCAAAGCACACAGGAATTAATAGTACAATAAAGTCTGTCCTGTAAATTGTAGTATTCTTAACTTGTTCTACTTTACCTGTTGTCTATATAGCTTTTATTTATAGTTGTCAGTCTACTCTTGGCATGTTTAGCAAAGAAAATGAAACTTCAAGAGTTTTATAAACTATTTCTAGGTTGCTAAAGAATTTATTTTTCTACTGTATATGGTATAGACAAAGCATCACCTGTACAGGAAGCAAGTCTATTTCTAATAGAAGTAAGCTTATAAATAAATGCCAGTCATATCCATATTTAAAAGTTCTATCTATAAAGTATCTCCAGTCTTTGTAATGTGAATTACATTTTAAACTTTCTACAAATTCCTAGTTGTTTGCCATGATATTTACTATCTTTGAGTACTAATTTTTAGAACTTACGTTCCATTTCATGACAAACTTTCATGTTGAACTTCTGATCAGAAGTGTTTGCATTATCATTTATTTCTTGTGTATGATGTTATGGCTACATCACTTCATGATTTTTTAAAATCTTAACGCTTCTATTTGGCCAAATATAAAAGTGTTATTACATTTGCTGGATAAAACATAAGAAATTATAAGAAAGCATGGCATGTGGCGCTCGATTGTCACATAGAAGGGTCCCTGCATACTGTTTGCGTTATAGAAGTGTTATATGCAGGAATGTGGATATGTGTGTATGTGTAATATATACACTTTGATATTTTTTATGTGTTTGTGTGTTTATGTACACAAGCACATGTGCACAGACTTGCATGCACATACACCCACATAGTAAAGTTTTTAAAAGATGCTAGGAAATTACACCATCGTTATTAAAGATTTATAATAGAGCTGTCTCTATTATTATTTTTATTAGTGCTATAAACCGAGGAAGCATGGCATTATATACAAATTCCTCATACTCTGGCTCATGTAGTCCCTTCTAGTTTTAATGAAAATCCGAACAATAATAACTATATTTTTAATGTGAGCATTTTTACAGTAATATCTATCTTGATAAAGATACAAATGTATATTATTTTTGGTTGAGCATCTCAGTGACACTTTATGGAGTAGTTTGTCTTTTCTATGTGATACTGGTATAGACATACTGCAGTGTATTGTCTTTCAATGTTTTAGCAATTTTAAAATCCCAGACCCGAGTTAAAAAAGTGCCATTTTAAGTAATGCTTAACAGGTTATTTCAAAATTCCTTACCCTCCACGATCTTGTGGAATTTTAACATATATAGTGTAAATAGATCACAGATGTCAGCTTTAGTGAAAAGAACTTTTTTGTTGTTGTATGTTTTCTCCATTATTTCAATCCTGGATGCTAGGAAATTATAGATATGTTTATTTTTAGTTTCTGGAGTTTAACTTCCAATATTTGTGATAACTATAGAAAAACTATCAATTGGAGGTTAAAAAAATTGGCCTTAGTTTACATGCTTATTTCAGGTTTTTTCAGTAATTGTGATGCTGTTTGTCAACTGAAAAAATGACACATATATAAAAATTTTGAAATCAAAATTTTGTTCTTTGTTTATAATGTAATCTTTTGTTGCTACATCAGCAGAATACTGCAGTGAATTAAATATCAGTGAAGCTTATTCTGTATAAAAGATGCAACGAATAAAATACTAAGATGCTTACTGTGTATAATGTTCAGTTTAGTTGCCTACTAAATTTTTAAAGGCAAAAGCACCCTATCTTTCACATACAGAGAGATGAAATTTAGCGGTAAATCTTTTAAGTAAGGCATTCTCGGGCGGGGGGGAGGGTGTCTCTCTTCTTGCATTTGACACGTCTTCTAAACTGCTGAATTTTGGAAGTGCTTCTCACAGTGGCGAAGACTCTTCTGTAGGTAATGCACCCCCCAAGATGGAATGTGTGGACTCTGGGGAACAGGCCTCGAAAGTGGCAGAATATGAAATTTTCCATTAACTGTGCAGTACATATGAAATTCTGTGGCTCATGTGACCGCTTATGTTTTTCACCGGATTGAGATGCTCAGCAAGAAAGGTGGTGATTAAGGAAATCAGTTTTTTTGATTTCTACCATGCTAAAGTAATGGCCTCTTAAGTAAGACCTTCTGAGTAAGGGTCTCTTAAAATTATTTTTCCTATGGAATTTTTAAAAATGAAGTAAAAATTTTGGGGTTTTAGGTCAGCTTTAAATTTTCAGATTAAAATAGATTTTAAACTTGCATGTTATTGATCATTTATGGGCTAAATCCAACTTTGATAAGAGTACTGCTTTTAGTTCTTGTGCGTGTAACATCTATGCCTAGTTTGTTTCCTCAGAGTATCTTCAGTCATATGGCTGATGCAGAAGTAACTGCAAAAACTTCCTGACAGCCTTCAAACTGAACACTGTTCAGATTGTATTCTATATCTTAACACTTTCAGATACTGGAGCATTTTAATCTCAAATAAAATACATCTTGCCTATAATTTACTCAGTGTGCAAATCTCAGTTTTAAAAAAAAAAAAACAAAAAATCTCTGTCGAATGTGAAGCATAATGCAGTTTTGAGGCTCTACAGCAGACCACAAGTTTCTGATGAATAGCTGTCCTAGAGAAACAAAGTGTAACATTAGTGTTCGCTTGTGTCAGATTTGATCCTTCAACAAATTCATAGTTTCCGTGGAATCAAAAGGGATGAATTTAATCTCTCGTCATGGCTAGTGAAAGCGAACACTTCCTTCCTTTGCTTATTGACAAATTCTTTCCTGAGCGTGTAGATGGTGCATGTTACAGCCGTTGCCCATATGTTTCTCATTTTCCTTATAAAATACAATGCATGTGTGTTTAGACCTGGTATTTTTGTTACTAAATTGAGTGTCATTGATGCCCAGCCAACATTCTGGTGCTTTTATATTACAGAATAGGGTTTAATATACCTGATTACATTAATAATAATTTGTCCGTTACTGGTTTTTATTTGGTGTGTTTAGAAAATATGGAGAATTAAATAATTTCACTGAATGCCTACGGTGCAGTAACTGGTTTTTCAGCCTTAGAGTGAGGTAATAATGAAAGGCCGTTATTGCTTCTGCTTACAAGCTGTTTGAGTTAAAAGATGGGAAGGGGATCTCCTGGTGGTACTTCTAGCCATGCCTGCATGTCAGTGCTTCAGGGGTGGAAATGCTGACTTGAAGAGTACCTCTGGCTGCTGATGTGACTGACAGATTTTTATAGTGTAGCTGTAGCTTGCGTTTTCCCCAGAACTACGGAATCACAATCTATCCGTTCTTACGGATTTTTCTGCTTTGCAACTGAAGAAGGGAAGGGAAGGCAAAGTAGCCATTCTCATCTCTTCCTGCAGTTCTCTTAGCTTTGCCATTGATGAGAATTGTCAGGGGCTCCTAAATTGCTCTTGCAGGGTTTTACTGAATTTAAAGTAGAAAATGTGCGGAGTGGTAAGTTACGAGTTGAAGTTCTTTGGTTAACTGACACTGAGTGTGATGAATTGGTGAAGCATCTGGAAAAAAACAAGTTGCACTGTTAAATTACAGGCTACCCTTGAAGCTTCCACCATTGGTACTTGGCAGCATGATGTGAGTTTCTGCAGTGACAACCCTTGGTCATATTGACCCTGTTCAAGTTGGAAATGAAGAAGAGATCAAGAAGCCTACCTCAAAAAAATCATGTACTTTGAACAGCTGCCTCTTAAAACACTTAAATGAAATTATTAAACATAGAATATGGTGGGGAAAAAAAACAGAATGAAATGTCTGTGGTTCATTATTGAAATATGTATGTATATACACGCACACTTTTTTAACTTGGTAAAGATGTAGATACTGATATAGTGGTTTTAACATAGTAAGAGGTGGCCAGCCTGCTACAGATAGATACTGCTTACAATTCAGATGTTAAGTTTCGAAAACTGAATGTAAACAGATGTATCTAATTTTGATACCCTATCTGTGAGATGTCTAGCTCTAACATTGGTTTAATTTTGTTATCCTATGTGGTCACAAAAATAAGCCTGGTTTTATGTCCTTTATTTAACTGTATTAGAGTTGAAAAGTTTCTTTATCTCTTCACAGATGACTGCTTTCTTTATTCTTTCTTCTCTTGGTATTTCTTTTTGACTTAATTAGTCTTGAAGTCAAAACTTACCATTTATACCGTGATCGTAATACTTGTCTCCTGTAAAACATACTGGGTCCCACATAAAGTTTATAAAAGTCTGTCAGTACTCTTTTGTCCCCTTTTGTCTGCACTTGTCTGTGTGCACTCCTTTGCTGTTTTGGGTATGCAGGACCTGGGGCAGTGCAGCACTTGGCCGTGTCTGAAGATGCTGATCACCAGCAGGTAGATACAGGGGTGATCCTTTTCCATATCCTAACCTGCTTTTAATGAAAGGGTGCTGGAAAGAGCAGCTAGGAGGCTGTTTTATTAAAGTGGTGAAGGATAAATATTATGAGTTCTTAGTGTATCAGGGAAGTGAAGGCGCTTGCCTCAACTGGGCTTTGTTTTTGTGTTGGGGGTTTGTGTGTAGGGAGCTTCCGAGCCTTCCACTGGTAGTGTAAAGGGAGGAGGAGCTGGGAAACCTCTTCCCTATACCCTTCTCTCTAATCTCAAGCACCAGTGTTGTTCTTGCAGAGTGTGGGGCAACAAGTCCTCTCTGTCTGATGTGGAATTTCGGCCACACAGAAAGAGGGTTATGGGTTAGCATGTGACCTTCCTCCAAAATTGGTACAGCTAAACAGTGGGAACATATCTACCAGCCTTAAATTGCTCCTCAGCATCTCTGTTCCTGAAGCATGCTGCCCTGAGAGTCATTTGTTGTTGCTTTTTGATATAAATTAGTTTTGAGTGATATTGCCTCCACTATCTGCAGTTCTAAGTCATCTTTACATCTCATAGCTGGCCAGATTTATTTACCAGGATACAAAGCTTCTCTGACCTGAAATACTTCTGGGGAAGTAGAAATCAAGCTCTATTCTCCTTGAGCTTGTACATGGTGCTATCAAGTATTATTTTGTTTTCTCTCTGCTTTTCAAGATGACAGTTTCTAAGAAAAATGAGAGGGCTGAACTGTTACCTGTCAGTGGGGTATTTTTGTAGCATGATAATGACGCTGTGAAGAAAATGCCCAGCTCATTCAATGAAGACATGAAAGTAGCATAAGAAGATGTGAATCCTGCTAGAATCATTTGGAAGACTGTCTGTGGCAGAGTAAGTGAATTGTGGAAAAAATTATCCTCTTGATCATGGCTACGGTTCCTCTTTGAACTTAATACTTTTTTTTTTCTTTTCACC